AAGACGAAAAAACAGCAAAGAACTACAAAAGCAACCAGAAAACAATTAATAAAATGGCAATAAGTATACGCCTATCAGTAATTACTTTAAATGTAAATGGACTAAACATTTCAATCCAAAGACAGGGTGACTGCATGAATTCAAAAACAAGACCTGTGCATATGCTGCCTATAAGAGACTAACTTCAGTTCAAAAGAACATACAGACAAAAAGTGAAGAGATGGAAAACGGTATTTCATGCAAATGGAAATGAAATGAAAGCTGCAGAAGCAATAGTTATGTCAGACAAAATAGACTTTAAAATAAAGACTATAACAAGAGACAAAGAAGGGCACTACATAATGATAAACGGGCCAATCTAACAAAAGAACATAACATTTATAAACATCTATACAATAAACATTAAGAATATCTAAATATTTAAAGCAAATATTAATAACATAAATGTAGAGTAGAATGTAACTCAATAATATCAGGGAACTTTAACACCCCACTTACATCAATGGATAAATTATTCGGACAGAAAATCAAGAAGGAAACAATGGTCTTAAATGACACTCTAGAAATAGATACACTGAACAGATACAGAACATTCCACCCAGAATCAGTAGAATATAAACTAGTTTCAAGTACTTATGGACCATTTTTTTCAGGATAGAACACATGCTAGGTCACAAAAAAAGTCTCAGTAAAATTTTTAAAAATTTAAATCACATCAAGAACATTCTCCAATCACAACAGTATGAAAGTAAAAATAAATTATAAGAAGAAAACAGGAAAAAACAAAAACACATGGAGGCTAAACAACATGGTACTAAACAATTATAAACAATTAATATGTTAATAAAGAAATCAATGAGTAAGTAAAAAAATATCTTGAGACAAATTAAAATGAAAACACAGCAAACCCAAATCCTTGGGACACAGTAAAAGCAGTTCTAAGGGGAAATTCAAAGCAATAGGCCCACCTCAAGAAACAAGAAAAAATTCAAATAAGCAATCTAAATGTACACCTAACGTAACTAGGAAAAGAAGAACAAACAAGACCCAAAGTGAGTAGAAGGAATAAAATAATAAAGATCAGAGAAGAAATAAATAAAATTGAGACTAATAAGACAATAGAAAATAACAATGAAAATAGAACCTGGTTCTTTTTTTAAAATATATTTTATTTATTTTTTACAATAAAATATATTTTTAAAAAATATATTTTGTAAATATATTTTTTTGAGAGGAAGGGAGAGAGAGATAGAGAGTTAGAAACATTGATGAGAGAGAAACATCGACCAGCTGCCTCCTGCACATCTCCCACGGGGGATGTGCCCGCAACCCAGGTACATGCCCTTGACCGGAATCGAACCTGGGACCTTTCAGTCCGCAGGCTCACCCTCTATCCACTGAGCCAAACCGGTTTCGGCCATTTTTAGTTTTTTAAGGAAACTCCATACTGTCTTCCATAGTGGCTGCACCAGTCTGCATTCCCACCAGTAATACATGAGTGTTCCTTTTTCTCCACATCCTCTCCAGCACTTGTCCTTTGTGGATTTGTTGATGATAGCCATTCTGACAGGTGTGAGATGGTACCTCGTTGTTTTGATTTGCATCTCTCGGATGATTAGTGACTTTGAGCATGTTTTCATATGTCTCTTGGCTTTCTGAATGTCCTCTTTTGAAAGGTGTCTATTTAGGTCCTTTGCCCATTTTTTGATTGGATTGTTTATCTTCTTTTTGTTAAGTTGCATGAGTTCCCTATAAATTTTGGAGATTAGGCCCTTATCTGAAATATCATGGCAAATTTGTTCTCCCATACAGTGGGCTTTCTTGTTGTTTAAATGAAATTTTTTAAACCTTCATTGTTGAGAGTATTACAGTACCCCTCTTCCCCCCCATTGCCCCTCCACTGGGTTCCCATACCGCCTAAGAGCTTCACCACCTTATTGTCTGTGTCCATAGGTAATGCACATCTATTAAGATGCAGAGTGTTCCCTCGGGAGTTCAGCTGGGAGGCCAGGAGTTTGATTGCTCGCTATGACGTGCACTCACCACCAGGGGGTGGCACAGAACAAAGGAAAGCTCCAGCTGGTGGCAGCTGGGGAAGGGAGGCCCTGGCTGGCAGCCGGAAGGCTCCGATCGGCCCTGATCACCGGCCAGGCCTAGGGACTCTACCCATGCACAAATTTTGTGCACCAGACCCCTCCCTCTCTCTCTCTCTCTCTCTCTCTCTTATATATATATATACACACACACACACACACACACACACACACATATATTAGAGGCCCGATGCACGAAATTCGTGCAAGAGTAGGCCTTCCTTCCCCTGGCTGCCAGCACTAGCTTCCCTCTGGCACCCGGGACCTGGGCTTCCCTTGCAGCCCAGCTTCATCCAGAAGGTCATCTGGAAGGACATCTGAAAGGACATCTGGTCTAATTAGCATATTACGCTTTTATTATTATAGATAAAAGCCTAAGTGACCATTACGACCGGTCACTATGACACACACTGACCACCAGAGGGCAGACGCTCAATGCAGGAGCTGTGCCCTGGTGGTCAGTGCACTCCCACAGGGGGAGCACCGCTCATTTGACAGACCCGACCCGGCACCCACCAGCCCGGCGGCAGCCACTCACTCCTTCAGTAGTCCTGCAGGTCTAATCTCCGAAGAAGGGGCCAGCGCCACGGATCCCAGCAGCGCTGCCCTCCTGGAGGTCGGCCTCGGGCAGCACAGCCGCTTCCCCTCCTTAGACGCTCCGCAAGGAAGAAAGGATATAAAAGCAGCCACCTCCCAACAACTGGTGCAAACGTCAGCCGGACAACAAGCGCGTCCGGTCCCCCTCCCCACCTTGGGACCCCACCTGTGCATGAATTTGTGCACCGGGCCTCTATGTGAATATCTTTGGTTAATCTCTTCCTGCCCCTCCTCCCGAGATTCGTCAGTCTGTTCCATGTTTCTGCCTCAGATTCTATTTTATTCATCAGTTTATTTTATTCATTAAATTCCTTCTTTGATTTTTATTTTTAGATTCAACTTTTGATAAATATGTATTTATTGCCATTTTATTGTTCATATTTTTATCTTTTTTTCTTCTTTTTCTTTTTCTTTCTCCTCCTCCTCCTCCTCCTTACCTTCTTTCTCCTCCAGTTTGGTGGTGATAAATTCCTTTAGCTTTTTCTTGTCTGTGAAGCTCTTTATCTGACTTTCAGTTCTAAATGATTACTTTGCTGGGTAGAGTAATCTTGGTTGTAGTCCTGGCTTTTCATCACTGAATATATCTTGCCACTCCCCCTGGCCTGCAAAGTTTCTGTTGAGAAATCAGCTGACAGTCGTGTGAACACTCCCTTGTAGGTAACTGACTGCTTTTCTCTTGCTGCTTTTAAGATTCTCTCTTTGTCTTTAGCCCTTGGCATTTTAATTATGATGTGTCTTGGTGTGGGCCTCTTTGGGTTCCTCTTGTTTCGGACTCTCTGCGCTTCCTGGACTTGTAAGTCAGTTTCTTTCACCAGGTAGGGGAAGTTTTCTGTCACTATTTCTACAAATATCTTGCTCTCCTTCTGGCACCCCTATAACACGAGTGCTGGTAAGTTTGAAGTTGTCCCAGAGGCTCCTTAGGCTATCTTCATATTTTTTGGTTTCTTTTTGCTTTTCTGATTGGGTGTTTTTTGCTTCCTCATATTCCAAATTGTTGATTTGATTATCAGACTCCTCTACGCTCTTGTTGAGTCCCTATAAATTATTCTGTATTTCAGTTAGTGTATGCTTAATTTCTAACTGGTCCTTTTGCATGTCTTTCACATTTTCACTAAGTTCCTTGAAACTCTCATTAAGATCCTTGAGCATCCTCATAACCATTAGTTTGAACTCTGTATCTAGTTGTTGTAGTTGAGCCTTGATTGCTATTGACATCACTGGGAGGAATTGACCTCCGGGCCAATTGGCTTTGCAGACCAGGCTGCAACTACAGTGGGAGAGCTGCTGTGCGGGAGACACCCTATGGAGCAGGACTTGCTTCAGTGGAGCTTTGGTGCTGAGTCTGCCCCTTGAGTGTGTCGCTTGTGGATGTGTAGAGTTGTAATCTGCTATGGTCTGAAACTGTCTGCCAGGTGTACTGGGTCTGGTGCCTCCCGGGTGGTACACAGTCAGCCACTGCCTGGGGCCACCCTGCAGGAGCTACAGAGCTATCTGCAGATGGCTGTTACTTGTATTGGGCTTGGAAATGCCAGGTGAGGACAAGCTGTGAAGCAAGGTAGGCTGGTGCTAGGGCCTCTTATTGATAGTTATGGGTTATGCTGACACCGGCTGCTGCTTGTTTGAGAGATTTTAGGAAAGTCTTTTTTTAAAAATATATTTTATTGATTTTTTTTTACAGAGAGGAAGGGAGAGAGATAGAGAGTTAGAAACATTGATGAGAGAGAAACATCAATCAGCTGCCTCTGGCACACCCCCTACTGGGTATGTGCCCGCAACCAAGGTACATGCCCTTGACCAGAATCGAACCTGGGACCCTTCAGTCTGCAGGCCGACGCTCTATCGACTGAGCCAAACCAGTTAGGGCAGGAAAGTCTTGTTAGAAATAAGGCGATCCCCCAAAACCAGGGGTCCTAGCAGAACACAAGGGACATTCGGAAGCCAGACAGCAAGGCAGTCCCTTTCCTCCTGCAGGAGGTGCGTATGCACTGGGGCTAGGAGCATGCACATGCTGAGCAGTGACCACTTGGGCTTTTATTGCTCATGCACCTGATCTGTTCCTCACTCTTGATGGGAGAGCTTAGGCTCCCAGTCTTGCATAGTTGGCTAATTTAAAGGAAAAAGGAAGGGGTTGACCTTTGCCATTTCAAAATGGCGGCCCCAGGGGAGCTGCAAGTCACTCGGGCCAGAATGGCGGCTGTCTGCACTCCCTTCTATGGCAGGGAAGATTATTTGTTTATTCTCAGTCTGAAACCTGAGCCAGAACAGGCTTATTCACATGAAAAAGCTGCTGCAACAGCTTGGGTGGGGCTGCAGATTGGAGAGGACCGGGCATGACATTTATTTAAATATGTTCAGGAATGTGTTTCACACGATGAAGTTCTTCGGCATGTTGTCACAAACAGTGTCCTCTGCAGACAGCTGCAGGTGACGTGCAGAAATGTCCAGTTCACAACAGGCACTGCGCAAACACTGGACGTGCAGTCCCCCGATCAGTTCCGAGGACGGCTCTGTGGGGTGTAGGTGCCGTCTCTCTTCATTTGCAAATAACACGGTCGAGCATCAGGAGTCCTGATTAACTTGCCCACAACAACAGATGGTGTGGACCAAATCGTTGTGTGTGCAGACATGTGCAGGTGTGTCTCAGTGTTTGTGAGCTCGTGGCTGTTCCTGGCAGAGCTGTACCAGGTCGTCCTTGGACAAGAGGAGGAAGGTTCCCGTACGCCAGCTCTGTCAGAGGAGTGCACACACAGGGGTCCTGTGCTCCCACTGGGCGCCCGGCAGGCGGGGCTGGGGCTTGTTAGCTGAGGAGACACTCAGTCTTCGTGGGGAAATATGTGCCCATTTGTTTTGCTTTTCCTTAGGGGCATCATTGAAGCGCGTTTTGTGTATGTGTTTGTCCTCGGCATTCTGTTCACGGGCATCAAAGACATGCTTAAGTCTCAAGTCCTCGCTGCAGGCATCCCAGTCAAGACTGTAGGTCTGTGGGACGTGTACAGTGGACTGGTGCTCCTGACAGCCTTGCTCTTCAGACCACATAACCTTCCCGTCCTGGTGTGCAGCCTCTTGATCCAGACCGTGATGACCAAGTTCGTCTGGAGGCCCCTGAGGCACGGGGCCGCTGAGGTCACCGTCATGCACTATTGGTTTGGTCAAGCGTTCTTCTATTTCCAGGTAGGTTTTCGTTATCTTTGTGGGTAGACCAGTAACTTCTTGTCATTTATCTTTTAGTTTTTCTTTGGGAAGTTTCAGTGTTAGTTCGGTGAAAGAGCTGTCAGTGTAGAGTGGTGGTGCTGCTCCTGCCGTGCGTGTGTCTGTAAGACATGATGCAGCAGTTGCGTGAGGCATGGCTGCTGCTGCACCATCTGCACAGCTTCCTCTGCGGAGGTGGTGACTGTGCTCTCGTGGCCATCCTGCTCGCCTGTCCCCTCAGTCATTCCTCCCCTAGAGCCCAGCGTCCACCCTCAGCCTCCAGCGAGGGCCCCTGGGCCGCGTGACCTCCGGGTTCCACCCCTTGAACAGGGTCCCGGGGGCCAGGGTGTGTCACGTGTCTGTGTGAAGTAGATAGATCTGAGGAAAGGCAGGCCTTGCTGCGGCTCATCAGAGACTCCGTCTGTATGTCTCTCCACGAGCAGACCTGGCGCTTGCTCCTCGCCGTCTTTGGAAGTGTTTCCGGGGTCAGCCGGACAGGAGGGTGGGCGGGCGGCCGGGGCTCCTGGCTTCTCACGGTCACATGGCCATGTTGTGAGCGTGGCATGTCATTCCAGGGAAACTCCAACAACATCGCCACGGTGGACATCTCGGCGGGCTTCGTGGGCCTGAACACCTACGTGGAGGTCCCAGCCATGTTCCTGACGGCATTTGCGACGTATGCGGGGCCCGTGCTGTGGGCCAGCCACTTGGTGAACTTCCTGAGTTGGGAGCCCAACAGGTGCAGCTCCTCCTCTGCCCCTCAGCAGTCTGTCCACGCCCCTCGAGTGCGCAGCTCCCTTTGCCAGGGTGACGGGAGGGGTGACCCTGGAGTGTGACTGTGGAAGCCCCTGTTCCTGTGGCTGAGAAGGACCTACTCCCCAGGCCAGGGGCAGGGGCAGCCAAGGCCCACCTATCGATGAAGCTTCTCCCAGTTCTCCTTCATGGGGTCCCCTTTCTGGTGGTTAGATCCCTAGTGGGACCCGGGCGTGTGTACAAGGACTTGCTGCAGGAGCTCAGGTCTGGAGCCGCCACAGAGTGAACCAGAGCGCCAGTCAGGCCGCCTCACAGAGCAGGGCGTGGGGCAGCAGGGGTCACGGCCTGTCCCGGGGAGCGGGTGGGGGCCGCGTGTGCCTGAGAGCAGAGGGCGGCTGCGTGGCTAACGCTCAGGATCTTGCGTTTCGGTCTGGGATTCGTTCTGAGCTGGTTCTTGTATGTGGTGTAAGTTGGTGGTCGAGCTTCGTGTTGTGCACATGTCTGTCCAGGTTCCCAGCGCCCTTTATTGAGAGACTGTCTACCCAGGGTGCACTCTGTCACCACCTCTCCTGGACCACGTGGCCTGGGCTCACTTCTGGGCTCTGTTTAGCCCTTGTCATGGTGTAGGGTCTTGCTGGACTCGATTTGTTAGTATTTTGTTGAGGATTTTTGCATCTGTGTTCATCAGGGATATCAGCCTATAATTTTCTTTTTTTTTTTTTTTTAATATCTTTTATTGATTTTTCACAGAGAGGAAGGGAGAGGGACAGAGAGCTAGAAACATCAATGAGAGAGAAACATCGATCAGCTGCCTCCTGCACACTCCCCACTGGGGATGTGCCCGCAACCAAGGTACATGCCCTTGACTGGAATCGAACCTGGGACCCCTGAGTCCGCAGGCTGACGCTCTATCCACTGAGCCAAACTGGTTAGGGCTATAATTTTCTTTTTAAGTGTCTCTGTCTGGTTTTGGAATGAGGATGATGCTGGCCACGTACAGTGAGCTTGGGAGCCTTCCCTCCTCTTGAATTTTTGGAAATACATTAAGAGGAATGCATGTGAATAATTCTCTCAGTGTTTGCTAAAATGTACCTGTGAAGTCATCCTGTCCAGGACTTTTGTTTGTTGGGAGTTTTTTGATTCCTGCTTTGATTTCATGAGTAGTTAGCAGTCTGTTCAGATTCTTCTTAACTCAGACTTGGAAGATCGTACGTTTCTAGGAGTTTACCCATTTCTTAGTTTGTTCAGTTTGTTGGCGTATAGTTGGTGATAGTCTTGTGCGGTTTTCTTTTCATTGTCTGTAGGTTATAATATACATGATAGTATTGCAGTGTGTGCATATCGTTTTTAAATAGATACTTTTGCAAAACAGGGCGTGAAGTGGCGTGACAGGAGGTGTCTGCCTGCAGCCTCATCTCCTCAGGCGCCTCTGCCCACCAGACTGACCAGGCCCAGGAGCAAGAATTACCTCCTCGTTTTCAAAATACAAATGTCAGTGACTTAATGCCCCCGGGACAGAGCGCGGTGCACTAACCCCACTTCCCTTTGCCCGCAGCGGTCCGGCGCTGAGGCGCGCCTGCTTCTGCTACGCGCTGCTCAGCTCCGTGCCCGTGTCCGCCTACGTCGTCCTGGTGACGGCCCTGCGCTACCACCTGTTCATATGGAGCGTGTTTTCCCCGAAACTCCTCTACGTGGGCATGCACCTGCTCGTCACCGCCACCCTCTGCCTGGGCTTCACCGCCGTGGACCGGGCCGGCGCCAAGGCAGACGCTGGGAAAGTAGCGCATTGTTAAAGCCTACTGTTTACTTCGTGGGTTTGATTCATAAAAGTAGGTGTAAGTTCAAGATTATTCTAAAAAGAAGAGGTGAGTCCTACAGTGTGGGTGAGTAGCTCCAGTTGCTTGGACGACTATGCTTGACGTTGAATTCAGTAGTAAGTGGCTAATAAAAGGTCACTTTAAAATACTTAGTTTGAATATGAATCCTATTCCCCTGTGGACAGTCACTACAGAAACTGCTGGACTTGTAATTGCCTCTGGATGAGTTAGGCTGTGACCACCCGGTGTGTTCACATGGTGCATACAAAGGTGCGAGGGTGTCGCGTGTGCGACCTTCAGAGGCTCGGCCCTTTCGACCCTAGGGCCCCGGACCGTGGCTTCATGGTCACAGCTGTCAGCACTGATGGCATTGAAAATTAAAATAGACATTTCAAAACAATTTATTCATTTAAAAATAAAGATATAAACTTTAATATATTTTTAAGAAAAATAACTACTTTCCACACACAAAAATTAGCAAGGAGAGTGGTATTATCTTTTTTTTATATATATATTTTATTGATTTTTTTTAGACAGAGAGGAAGGGAGAGGGATAGAGAGTTAGAAACATTGATCAGCTGCCTCCTGCACACCCCCCACTGGGGATGTGCCCGCGACCAAGGTACATGCCCTTGACCGGAATCGAACCTGGGACCCTTGAGTCCGCAGGCTGATGCTCTATCCACTGAGCCAAACCGGTCAAGGCAAGAGTGGCATTTTCTTATATTTTTGCAAATCTCCTGAGTGTCTGGCTCAGGTGGGGACGGTTGGGCTCTGCGCTCAGTGTGCTGTGCTGTGTGCAGGTGCGGGGCACACAGCCTGGTGCCGTACAGGAGGGTGTGGGTCCGTTTGTGGTCATTGTGGGTGTTCTGTGTCGATGCTGCACTGAAACTTTCGAAGGTGCGCCAGAGGCAAGCAGTGAGTGGGTGCACTGAGCTTCATGCTGGTGTCGACAAGTCCTGTAGCTTTAAATGCCTCAGGGGAAGCTGGGGTGTGGGACGAGGATCTCTGTACTGTTTTTGCAACTTCTTGTGAGACTTAAACTTCTTCAAAATAAAGTTATTTTGAAAAGGAAGCTTAGTTGTGCTGTGCAGTCTGAAACCACACCGTGACCGGCTCTGGGCTGCGCTGGCCTGCACTGCGCGGTTGTGCCTGAGGGAACCCGCCCCGGGGGTGGCTCCATCACACTCCCATCTGGGAAATAACGTGCAGCACGGTCCGTGGTGCACAGCCACACACCACTCGTCCGGCGCCCACCGCCCGTCGGAGCTCTGAGTGCGGGAGCAGAGGGGCAGGTGCACGCGTTCCATACTCTAACCTAGTGTGAAAACTCAGCGTTCATCAGCTCAGACTGAGTTGTCTTGGCAACGACAGTCCACTTGGTTCTCAAGGAAATGACGGCCACATCCCCAAACCCAAACCCTCGGTGTCATTCTTCAGGCGAGAACGGGGCTTTCCTGGTGACATGTGGTGCACCAGGTCCTGGCACAGCCGCAGGGGGGTCCCACCCATCGTCACGGTCCTGCCTCCGGCGCCTGGAGGAGGCACTCCTCCTCCAGTCACCACAGGACTCACCGTCCGGCCCCTTGAACACTTCCGATTCCAAGAGCAGTGTCATCTAGAAGGAATGAGCGAGTCCTCTCAACCTCTACCACCTTGTCTCCTCTCTCTTCCCTCGATTCCTGGCCTCCCCAGGGTCTGCCCCCTCTTTTTAAGAAATAATGACTTGGTATCATTGTAATTTTTTAATCATAAATACTCAAACAACAAAAACACTGCATTTTTAAAAATTTTTTTTATTGATTTCATTGAGGAAGGGAGAAGGAAAGATAGAAACATCAGTGATGAGAATCATTGATCGGCTGCCTCCTGCACTCCCCCTACTGGGGATCGAGCCTGCAACCCGGGCATGTGCCCTGACCGGAATCAAACTTGGGACCCTTCAGTCCACAAACTGACACTCTATCCATTGAGCCAAACCAGCTGGGGCAAAAACACCACTTAAAGAAAGTATTTTTTTAAAATATATTTTATTGATTTTTTTTTTTTTACAGAGAGGAGGGGAGAGGGATTGAGAGTTAGAAACATCGATGAGAGAGAAAACATCGATCAGCTGCCTCCTGCACACCCCCTACTGGGGATGTGCGCGCAACCAAGGTACATGCCCTTGACCGGAATCAAACCTGGGGCCCTTCAGTCCATGGGCCAACGCTCTGTCCACTGAGCCAAACCGATGAGGGCAAGAAAGTATTTTTAACTATCACTGCCCAGAGCAGCAATCACGGACACTCGGGGAACTGTCTCGGGCATTCGTCCGGCAGGCTCCACTCTATTGCTATTTTTAATCCAGAGCGTTTAATGCAATTTTTCTGAATTTAACAGAAAAAGAGAAAGTGCTGAACTTTCCTTCTTACAAGAAGTATTAGTTCATAAAAGATTCCTAAAAATTTAAGAAAAAATATTTTTAAATGTTCATTTTAAAAATTAACTACTCTTTCCTATTTTATTCCATATCCCTGGACTCCTTGCTATGAAACATGACAGAATTATCACACACCCTTTCTTCCCCCACTTACACATTCTTTAATAGGATTATTACCACAATTTATGACACATCGATTTTGTGCTGTAATCACACAACTGGTCAGTTCTAATTCTGTGGTAAGTGGCTCAGAGCTCACCCCCAGGCCTTGCCACGCTGCTGACTATTATTTTCTTTCCTCTATTTTTGAATCTTTTTCAAAGAGGATTCATGGATGTGGACTTCTGAACTTTGCATCTGTCAGAGCAAGGTCTAATTCTTGGAGTGTGGGGCGCGGCTGCAGTGTCTTGGCCAGGTCCAAGCCTCGGACTAACGAAAGGACAGGGTCCTCTCATTGCCACGTGCGAGTCCCAGCTGGAGGGCAGGGCCCTCCCAGCACAATCATAGCCAATATCTGTGGCTGTAAGCTTGAACCTATGGTCTGAACACGTAGCCCCACGTGCCTTGTGCTAGAGTTCAGGTGCATGTAGTTGAGTGAGGTTAAAACTCACAGGAATGCTGTAAACAACGTGATCACGCCCCTGCTTTGCCTCGTGGCATCTGCTATAAAATAAAGACACGGCTTGTGGGCGCTGGCGCTGTCTCATCAGGGAGCCGCGTCCCACCGAGACCCAGCTTTCATTCTCTTGTCTGTCTTTCCTCAATCCTTTCACCCCCCCCACTCAGGGTCACCCTTGGCTGTGCTGGCGGCACATTGGAGTACTTATTCCTACATCCTGCTCACAGTGCCAATTGTCAGAGCAAGTCCTACTTGAACCCTGCTCGCCGTACTATTGTTGAACGCACTCACGCTCCATCCTGCCAACTGGTCCACGTAGGTCCTGACCCTGCCCTACTATGCCAGCTGTCAGGTCCAAGCCCCTCTGCCTGGGGCTGGACCTCCTGGGGCACCGGGTGGCAGAAAGCTGTGTATGACAAGTCGTGAATATGTAAGAGAGTCTTTATTGTAGGAGCCAGTGGCCGTGTAGCCATTGCTAACAAGGAGCCATTAGACCAGTGGTTCTCAACCTTCCTAATGCCGCGACCCTTTAATACAGTTCCTTATGTTATGGTGACCCCCAATTTCATTGTTAGAAATTGAACATAATTAAAGCACAGTGATTAATCACAAAAACAATACATAATTATATATGTGTTTTTCCGATGGTCTTAAGCAACCCCTGTGAAAGAGTCGTTCGACCCCCAAAGGGGTCGCGACCCACAGGTTGAGAACCGCTGCATTAGACAAAGCAGTTCTCCAAAATAAAGCCCCAAACAGCAGGTAGCGGCACACCGGCTGGGTAACAATACATCATTCCCACAGCCATTATCTGAGCAGCCGGTCACGCTGCCTCTAGAGCATATCAGATATTCACATTACGATTCGTAACAGTAGCAACATTACAGTTATGAAGTAGCAACGAAAATGATTTTATAGTTGGGTCACAACATGAGGAACCGTATTTAAAGGGCCAGAAGGTTGAGAACCACTGCTCTAGACCCACAGCCTCTCATCGCAGCTGCATCTAAGCTCACAGCCTCAGTAGCCTCGGTAACATACTTTAATACTATTTAGACAAAAGAGGCTTTCCGCCAAATAGTGGCAGCAGTCGTCTGGGTTATAGAAGGGCACGCCCGCCCAGGGCACCGTGAGATTGCTGTACCTTGCGCCTGTGTGGAGCATCTTGGCCTTGAACACTTGGATAAAGATTGCCACACTCTAATTGGCCCTGGCCACCCGGCGTGCTCTGTATGTTCCCACAGCATCCGTGAAGTGTCTGCTGTGGAATTCTGTGCAGCGGAGTCTGCATCACTGTGGTTGCTGGTGGTCTGGCCCATGTCCCTTCCTCCCTTACATCCAACTGAAAATGAAAAGTCTTTTAATAGCCCTGACTGGTTTGGCTCAGTGGATAGAGCTTCAGCCTGCGGACTCAAGGGTCCCAGGTTCGATTCCGGTCAAGGGCATGTATCTTGGTTGCAGGCACATACCCAGTAGGGAGTGTGCAGGAGACAGCTGATCGATGTTTCTCTCTCGTCGATGTTTCTAACTCTCTATCCTTCTCCCTTCCTCTCTGTAAAAAATCAATAAAATATATTTTTTAAAAAAAAGTCTTTTAATAAACACTGCCTTTATAACTGTTCAAAGTGTGTGTATACATTTTGGGGGGATACCCTATAGTTTTTCTTTTCCCCGAATGTCACATATCTGGAATCCCACCATATGTAGTCTTTCATATTGGGTTCTTTCCCTTGGTAACATGCATTTAAGGTTCCTCCACGTCTTTTCATGGCTTGATAGCTCATTTCCTTTGAGTGCTGAATACTATTCCATTGTCTGGGTGGACACAGTGAAAGAATCTAGTGAGCGACATCTTGTTTGCTCCCAAGTTTTGGCAATTACAAATAAAGCTGCTATAAACACGTGACCAGCATCTCTCGGCAGGAATTCAGCCCCGAGTGCCACTCACAGAGCCCTGGACACCATGTGCAGCTGCAGGCAGGTCCCTGGCGGTGCCTGGGAGAGAGACCACAGAGCCGTGTCCGGAGGGAGGCCACAGGAAGAGAAGTTCTGGGTTAGTGGGCACGTCTGAATCAGGACAGCATGCTGTTCTCATCTCTGTCAAAAG